TGCAATCAGGCAGCAGCAGTTCTATCCAGTGCGCCACTGGCATCACAGAGCCTGGGCTTCTTCCCCACTTCAATAAATCAGAATCTGAGTAATAAGATTAGAGCGCTCTGGATCGATGCGTTCCGCCTCCATGTGCCCTCTGCCTCCACCCCCCAAAGCAGCCCTCCCCCCGAAGCCACGGCCCAGATCAGATTCCTCGTTGCCACCCTGTTCTGGTGCGACTTGCGCGGTTACCTTGATTTACTCTGCCAGTTGCCTTGCAGTGACATCAGAGCCGTCATGGCGTGAGAGAGGTGATCTGTAAACACCAGGGGTGGGGGTATGGGAGACAGCACATGTAGCATACACACCAAATACTTCTTGTTGATTCTCATAGTGGCACTGCATATTTTGGAGGGAGGTTGGGTGATGAAGTGCTTACACATCCAAGCATCTCTGCCAGTGTCTCTCCTGCACCTTGCGAGGTTCCTGTATATAAAATCGCGGCGTTCTGATGTGCTGGTGTGATCTCTCCAGGGTTTTGGAGACACAAGCACATCCCATCAAGTCCCACAGACTCACTGGACCTGGTTACAGCTGTTATGTTGTTTACATGGCTTGATGCTGCAGTAAATATATTGTTAGGGCTTGATGAGTGGAGAGGTCGCCTGCGGTCCATGACTGACCCAATGCAGATAGTGCTGGTCCTCGCTCCCCACCTTATCAAATCAACAGTCTTTAATCTCCACGCAGGCCAAAGGTGGACTGTGCAGTTCGCCCCCCGGGGGGACAGCTATTCGACGGGGTGGAGTGGAGGGAGGACCCAGTATTAGCTGTCCCTGAGATTGCCTGCTCCTTCTTCCTTGTCACCTCTTGTCCTGCTCATCAGCCTTCTGTCTTTCCCCAGTGCGAGGAAGCAGGCTCACCTCTCCTTCCTCTAGGTCCTGGTCCTGCACTGGTTTTGAGGATACATAGCATGTAGGGGCGAGCCCCCTCCCTCAATAGCCCGGCATCTTGCTAACCCCATCAACTTCCCCAAGTGGAGCATGCTCTGCCCACATCCCTTTCCCCGACTCAGGGACAGTGAGTGTAACGGAACCCACATCCCTTTCCCCGGCACGGTAAGTATAACAGGGCCTGTGTCTCTTACCCCGACCCGGGTACAGTAAGTGTAATGGAGCCTAATGTCCCTTTCCCCAACCCGGGGACAGTAAGTGTAACAGAACCCACATCCCTTTCCCCGACCCAGGGACAGTGAGTGTAACGGAACCCACATCCCTTTTCCCGGCACGGTAAGTATACCGGGGCTTGTGTCCCTTTCCCCAACTTGGGGACAGTAAGTGTAACAGAACCCACATCCCTTTCCCCGACCTGGGGACAGTAAGTGTAACAGAACCCACATCCCCTTCCCCAACCCGAGGACAGTAAGTGTAACGGAACCCACGTCCCTTTCCCTGGCACGGGGACAGTAAGTGTAACGGAACCCACATCCCTTTCCCCGGCACAGTGAATGTAACGGAACCTCACGTCCCTTTCCCTGACACGGTGAGTGTAATGGAGCCTCACGTCCCTTTCCTCGGCACGGTAAGTGTAACGGGCCAGTTTCCCTTTCCTCAACCCCGGGACAGTGACCTGGCTGGCTGACCTAGCAGCCCAACTCAGAATGCCCTGGGAAAGGAGGGGCCTTTTTGGTCTGTCTTTATTTTTTCAGGGCACTGACTACAAGCTGAATAAGCATAAAAGCAGGTCCTTTGATTATGAAACCGAATTTGCAGTCAAGTAGACACAAACGGAGATAAAATGGTGAGCGATTAGGAAGCCCATGTCTTTTCGTGATAACTGCAGGCTTTCTCCACAGTGGTGATTTTGGGGGGGGGGGGGGGGAGTATTTGTAAAAGCTGCGGGCTCTGTAGCCACATGCTGCAAGTGACAGTGGACCAGAGGTGGGTTAGCAAAAGACCTCTGATGAAGCCCTCTCCTCCCCGTTCTCAGTGCAGAGAGGCTGAGGTTCTTAAGGTGCCCCCCCGCCCGCAAACACACACAGCCCTCATTAGCCTCCTTAATTACTTATCCGGCACTGGGTTGGGCTCATTTCCCATTAGAGCGTGTCAACAGTAGGAAGCAGGATTTCCTGCAGCACTTGCATGGGGGGGGTCTGGAAGGGCTGCAGACTCAGATACCGTGTCGCATGGTGCTGCATGAGCACGCATGTATTACTTTATTCGTGTTTTATACCTTATGGTTTCTTCCCTGTGGCCTCCAGCTGAATGCTTACCATCTTTTATTTAACGCTGGATGCTAACACCGGACGCTAATTGCATGTTTCCTGTACGTGTGACACCAAGAAGCTGCTTTGGCTCTGCAATGGCTGCTCGTCACCGTGACACCCAGGCTCATAGCTTTCTCACTCACGTGCGTGAAGAGCGGGGAGGGAAGGGGGGGAGAGAATTAAAATGGAAGACAAAGATCACCTTGAACCTCTGATATTTTATTTGAAACCTCTCCTGTCTGCCATGTTTCTCAATATATTCCAGCCGTTATTGGTGTAGGTGTCAGCTTTGGGGGGGGGGGGGCTTGTTATCAAATATTAAAGATGTTATCCAGGCCGCCAGGCCTGACAGCGAGCGGCAGGCCTGAGACTCTTTCTCTCTCTCTCTCTCTTTCTCTCTCTCTCTCTCTCTCTTTCGCTCCATCTCTCTTTTCCTTTTTCCTTACGTTTCCATTTCCTCACTCAAGCTCACGGGAAATAAAATGAGCACCTCCATGTGAGGCGATTTCGGTGTGTGGCGACACAGAGGTAGATAAAGACGCGGTGACTGCGTCTCCCCGCCCCACGCACACCTCAGGCTCTGCCTGCTCTCTGGCTCCCCCTAGCTGTCAGTGTGCGTTTGACTTTTAGCTCTGGAGATTAATAAAGAGGGGGTCGACTACGCAACAGTTGGTGGTCAGGACAGGAGTTACTTGGAGCACTCCCCTCTGATGCGGCCTGTGATGATAGCATGCTGCCACATGGCTGCGAGGCGTTTGGCACATAAGCTGCGCCTTTGCATTAAAGCGTGGACAGATCTCAGCTTGGGTAATGAAGTGCTGTGCTGGACTGAGGGGGCTCCTGTTGTTGTTATTGTCTTGCGGGTAGCTGCAGTGAGGAACGAGCTCCCTCCTAATGAACTGGGGCAAAACAGACCCCGGAGGCAGGGATGCCGGTGCTGTGTGGGGAGTCCTGGTACAGCCACATGGAGGATTGCTGCATTCAGGGTGGAGATGGGACCTGCGTTTCAGTGACTCTCTGGCTCCCTTGTCAATAGTGACTCGCTGTCCTATCCCCTTCCACCATGAACAGATATGTCCTTTCCCGCAATTCCAGCTGGACTCTCTTTTCCGACAGATGTCAGAAACCTGGGAATGTTTAAAGTCTCATTATCTTGCTCTGATGCCGTATAGCAGAGAACATGTACCTTTGGCCTGAGAACAGCACAGCTTTGCCAAGGCGTGGTTCTCATCCGAGAAGGTGGGGGGCTTTTTTAAATGTCTGCCAGTAAGCGTTTGGGCTTGCTGCGTAAATGACACCCCTGTGGAAATTTTCTTTGGGACATTGATCTTCTTCAAAACCCTGAAGATGTGTGGTGTTTTCAGCCAGTTTCGGTTACACCCTGCAGTCATAATGACCAAGATGTAAAAAAAAGAAACAAAAAATCAACAGCAGTATCCACAGTCGTGGTCCAGTTCAGTCAAGACAAATGATTTGCTGATCTTCCCTGATGTGACCTGCGAGCGGCGGAGCCTTTGTCAGTCTGTGCTGCTTGTCTTTGTTGTATCGCCATATACTTGAGTTCCCCGTGGAAAAATAAACCGGCGGTTTGTTTGGGTTTCCACTTTACCGTCTCGGGTGAATCGCTTTCCGGAAATGGGATATGAGGACTGGAGTGAGTTGGGCAGGGGGGCAGGAGGGGGTAGGAGTGAGCTGACTGGGGGGCAGGAAGGGGCAGGAGTGAGTTGGGTGGAGGCGAGTACAGATGCTATCGCGGGCATGCAGATCACGCGCCCGACTGGCACGCCTGGTGAGCTGTGTTTGGCGGGTAGCGGCAGGCAGCGCCAGCAGGGCTGGGAGGGCAATTATCAGTTTTTGAGTTTAATCCCCCCCGACTCGGGGTTCTGCACTGTGCCGGTTACCGGTTACCGGAACCATCGGAGATTAGGTGCCGTTTTGAAAGCAGCCTGCTGTCTGCAGGGTTGGGGGGATGGGGAGGGGGGGTGTTTGTGCAAACAAACCCCAAGCAGCAGCTCAGCTCACTGCTGACACGTCTGGCCAGCTGAGCTCGGTGCCTTTTGGCTGTACCATGACGGGCCCCTCTGCTCTGGGTCTGGCTGATCCCAGGTCAGCACCATGCCACATGCCACAGACGGTCAGCTGACTTCTCTGGTCCACCCGGGATGGAGGGGGGGTGCCTTATCCTTCCATCCCAGCCTGATCCAGGGAAGCTGTTGCTTTATGCCTGTCGAAGGCAGCGCCCCATAAACATCTGCCAAAACAGAGAAAAACAAGCAGGCCTGTATGTTTCTGTTCACGTAGGGAGGAGAATCTATTACGACACTGACAGCCATTATAATGTAATAATGCCTCTCATCACTGCCGTTGTTTTTTGCTTGCTGACTGATTAAAGTGAGTATTTGCTAAGTCAGTATTAGCTAAAGCTAAGTTTCTTTTTTGGCGAGAAACTGTAGCAATCGAGCCGACTTCCAGACCGCCTATCCAGAGCAGGGTCGTGGTAGATCTGGAGCCTGTCCCAGGGAGCAGGCCACACCAAACAAATCAATGCATTATGGGTAATGTGACTGTGGGAAGAGCTGGGACTGCCCAAAGGAATCCTCCACACACAAAGGTGGAAGAAGCCAACTCCATACAGCCAGCCGGGTGTAAAATCCAACCACAACCACAGTAATAAAAAGACATGGCATTTATTTCACATGTGCTTTTGTCTAGAGTGACTTACAGGTGAGCGACGTGTGAGTCTCCCGGGGGCTAAAGGCCACGTTCAAGAGCACATCGGTGAAATGCTTCCTCAGTCTGCCATGGGATTTGACCTAATGACCTTTCAAAAATGGGCACAGATTCTGAACCCACTGAGTTGCACATCAGCGCCATCCCACCAAAAAAAAAAGACACAAGAATGCTATTGAAAAAGAGAATCTGCGTGGGTCTCTCTGCATACCTGTCCCCCTGTCAGCTGTTATTCTCTCATTGTTACTGGAGCAGGTCTGATAACAGGCAGGAGGCAGATGAAGGTGGCCTCTGCCATCTTGGATTGCAGGGACGCGTCCACATGCTCTAGCGACAGCAGCAATACCTGCAGTAATTTCCGATAAGCCGGGGGCCTGAACAACAGAGGGACAGATGAGGCCCTCACATCCCAGCTGTACTGATGAGGCCATTATCCCCGTAGAACCCCAGGGGGCGCCAGTGATTGGGGGGGAGGGGGGGGGGGGTGAAAAGTGGTTATCTAGCAGAAGCCAGTGCAAAGTATCCCGGACCGAAAGGTGAAGTCTTTTGTTGGCTGTCAGCTCCCCCTACTGCCCCCCACCCCTCCGCAGCTGAACAATGGGAGCTCCCGATTCATCCGCCCATCCCAACCGGTTCCAGTCCCTACCAGTGACAGTGTCACCGCTTAGACTGGCCATTGTTGTCGTGGGAACACTGCGTGTCAGCCAGCATCTGTCATTCGGGCAGAGTCGGCCTTTGCGGCACGGGAGCGCTTTCCCCTGTGGGGGGTAATGTTGTTATGTTGTGTGATTGCTTTGTGGATGTTGTTACCGCTTATAAGAATTAAATGCCCCCCAGGGCAGGTACAGTCACCCACCCCGGCCTCACAGCAGCCCTGATTGAATAAGTGCCTGTTGAAAATGGATAGATGGGCTTTATTCTGCAGGAAAAGGTCCTAAGCTATTTATACAGCCAGGGAATAGTTGGGTTAGGTAACCTCTGTGCCAAGGCACTGTAGTGTTTTCCTACCTAAGATGGAAACCGTCTAGCTCTCACGTCCCGTTTCATGGACATTCCTTGCCAGGGCCTTAGGGCTGAAGGCCCACAGAGACCATAATCCTCGGTTGAGGAGCTCAAGCGGGTCGTGTTTTCTCGATGCCAGAGTTGCGGTCTGTTGATGGAGAGCGATATTCGCAGTGGCTGGATCTCTCACCTAGACCCAGAGGTGGACATTTCAGGTCCAGAAAGTAAAAATCCAGACCAAGATTTTGTTTCAACCAACCGGTTGAGCTCAACCGGTTGGTTGAAACAAAATCTTGGTCTGGATTTTTACTTTCTGGACCTGAACTATCCATCTCTACTTCACACAGCTTGATTTATTGATTTATGGCTTCAGTTATGGTTCTTTACCCTGAAATAAACCATTTTTAGTCCCTGCTTCTAAAGGTGAGGTACTGAAGGGTGTAAGGGAGCACTCCAGGGGTCGGGGGGGCTGGGGGGCGGGGCAGACGCGCACACATGCAGCTGGGCCATGTGCAGCCTTGGGAGCGTGAGGCAGAGGCGCCCCCTGCTGAGGCTGGGAAAGCCAGCAATACGAAAATGACCTGCCTGCTCGGTGCTGTGCCTTCAAAACCGCAGGTCAGGCTCATTGTCTGATGGACTCAAGGGATTATTTCTAACCTGCCTGGGAACTCCAGCTGAATCCACTTCCTTGTTTTTCACAGGTGCTGTTTGAGGCAACGGTCTCCAAGGAGCGCCAGGGCTATATCGGCATGGATGACATCCTGCTCCTGAACTACCCCTGCTGTACGTACCCTTCAACCTTCAATGTCCAAAACAACATGTAGTGCTAAAGGGTGGAGCTCAGTGCTGATTGGCTGAAGGCTTAAACCCCACCCTCTCACTCCTGATTTGCGGCTTTTTGGGCTGTTCCAGCTGTTGGGAGGAGGTGCACAGCAGTGCCCTGTAGCTGTGTTCTGAGGCCACTGGACCTTCAGCTTTCAATCTTCTTTACCTCACCAGGCCCCCTACTTACCAGTTGCCATGGAGCCAATTATCTGCCATTAACTGCAAGGCAAAGCTGGCAAAAGTCACTGCAAAACTGCCTCTTAACTCAGCTGCGTTCCATCAGGGACGACGGGCTTCCTCCAGAGTGGCTGTCCTCTCGGGGAGCAGCTGTTGTACTCATGACAGATTCAGAGTTTTAGATGTGTGTGTGTCTTGGTGTGTGTGTGTGTGTGTGTGTGTGTGTGTGAGTGTCATGGGGTGGGGGTGTCAGGAATGCATGCTGGCCTGTTATTGGTCATGGTATCAGATGGCACAAACCAAGACGAGTGGAACAGCTGTGTAGTATCGATCACATGATCCCGGACAAGAAGTGACTAATTACACCGCAGTCAATGACTCATCTACCTTAATGAGATCATTTGCCTCACTGTCGAGACCTGGCCCCGGATGCTCCCCAGACTCTTACCCAAAACGACTTCATGCACACGCAGACAGCTGCTTATTCTCCATAAGTCAGGACCTCCAATCAGATCGTCCGCCTTGCTGATGAGGCGTATTCCTGTTAGTATTCCAAGGTGCAAATGTCGAGATGCTATCCTCCGTCATTCTGCGTTTGAAGTGATCACCCCCCCCCCCCCCTTCCCTATTGCATGTCTCCCAGGCTGCCCCTCAGACGATCCATCAGCAGGAATCTTTTTCGTCTCCAAACTTGTAATAGGAACAGTGGGGAGCGGTAGAAATAACCTAACTGTGAGGCTGTAAGGATATTACCAAGAATAACTGAGAATTGCGATGAGCAAACAAGCCGTTGATTCACCCGGAAAAATAGCTGCTTTGCAAAAGCAGTTTAGGTTTAGGGGTTAATTTGATTCTGTGAGAAATGTTTGTCTATTTAAAGATATATAAATTGAATGAACTGACAGGCTGGAAAAGCTTTATAGAAACCGGAGCTGTATTTAGCAGGAGTTAATTTAGGGCAGAGTCTGTTTGTGTGAATCATTTTTGCAAAGCATATCTGTTTCCTTTAATAAATGAAGTAGACCAAGTCCTTTCATATATTAACACTCTCCGATGATACGTCTGAGCAAACAGGTTTATTGGGCTGTGCCTCTACCAATGGGTATGCAGCCATTTGCAAGGCCCCTCCCATGTGTCACCCAGGAACCCTGTCATCAGCTGTCATCAGTCCTGTCACCACAGATGGTCCAGCTGGAACCTCAGAACCATATTGTGCCTATTAAATAATAGTTTAATTATAAAGCTCTGTCTCTGCCAGTCCCGTCATGTTCTCATTTGGCCAGCAGATGTCGCTGGCCATCTGATCTGTTCCTATGGTTTTCAAGTACTCACACCTGTTTCCCCTTCTTCACATTTGATTCCTAGTATTTAGTTGTTAACGACTCACACTTGTCCCTTGTCACAACATTGTTATCATTGTATGTATGTGCCCTTGCCCTGTTCCTTTGTTGGTCAGTGTAGATATTAGTGCTCTGTCTTTGTTCCCACTTCTTGGTAAATGGTACTGGCGTTCTCAGTTACTGTTTGCCCTGCCTTTTCCTGTGCTTGGTTCAGCCCTGTTCCCTTTTGAGTTAGACTCCCTGCTTCCTATTCTGACCCCTCGCAGTCATTGTAGTCATCAGCCAGTGTGCCTTTCAGTCTTTAAATAAAGACCTCTTTGGTTATTCTCAAGCTAATTTGGATTGTCACTCCTCTCGTCTCCAGTCTTGACAAACACGCCCCTTAGTTTTAGCAGTTTACGAATAGTCTGTCCCACAAAAAAAAAGTATGAAAAAATGGCTAATGGTCTGCAGCTCTGGGTCGGAGCAAGATTACTAAGCAGCCTTGACCTTTCTCTTGTTTCCTCTTGAGCCCCTAATCTCTCTACCAAACTAGCATTGCAATAAAATGAAATATTTATCGTCGTACAAGTGCCTTGGGATAAAGTCTGACATATTTAAATGATACTTTATTCTGCAAGAAAGGGATCCCATTTATCGTCAACATTAATGTGTATGCGTGGGGGTGTATGTTTGTTCATTTTATTTGGTTATTCTGTATTGCATATAGTCACTGCTAAGTACCTCAGTGTTGATCTGAGAGGCTATTATTCCTGTGGCTTTGCACATGGAAGGGCCCACCTGATTTTTTGCTTCACATAAGCAAGGAATCACCGGCTTTGAAAACAAAACCCTTCCCACGTGACTCCCATCTTACAATACAGGAAGTCCCACCCCTCCTGTCTGTCAGTCTCTTGGCATGATTGGTACATCAGAACTCATCTTGATTGGCTAGCACATAGATGTACAGCATGATGTATTCACCTAAAGTGCACTGCTTAGTGTACGGAAATATCTTGTTTTGAGCTGGTTCTGCTGTTGCCACTATCTGGATAGAAAGCATACAGTAGATATTATTAGGAAGGGACAGCTGTCACAACCGTGTGACAAAGGGATTAGTCGCTGGACCAGAGGTTAATTGAGCATAATTTCTTTCAGGGCAAGGATTGGAACCTCAAACTTTAAGGAGGAATCCAGAGAAAATGTAGGCAAAATTGCGGGAAAAGACAGACATAAGTTTTCTGGTCCAGGGTACTGGCGGACAGATGAATAAGACCACACCATTTCTCACACACAGACACTGAAAAAATGGTCCCCACAATGTCAAAATAACAGGATTTTATCAGATTGTGGGGACAGATTGTCCCCACAATGTAATGTATACATAACCCACACACACCGAATAAGAGGCAAGCAACCAAATTACTGAAAGCGTGATAATTGTATTCATCTGCCTCTCTATTCCAAAGCACTTTCACTTGAAATATTTATGACAATAAATGACAATAAATACAAGCTTCAGAGCATCAGCATAACATTTCAGATGCAGGCAAGTCAACACGATTTGACCTAAATGGATCAATTGTTGACTTCACCCACTGCCACCCCAACATTCACCCAAGTGAAACTGCAGAAAAGTTGCGGCATTCAGGAATTATGAGTGGCGTCCATGGCAACACACTCTGACAGAGCTGCTTTATCAGGGTGGAAAGTGGAGAGAAACAGCTGGTTTTCAAAGGGCCTGTCAGAGAGCGGTCCTTCCCCATTTCTATTCCCAGTGGCCCCGCAGATGACTGCACAATGCATAAAACATCCCACACTGTGCCAATTTCACACCTGTGTTGATTCGGAGTGGATCGAGGTTCCGTTCTGTGTGCGCTGCCCCCTTAAAAGCCAGTCAAACAGACTTCCTTAAAGTAAAAGCTGAGTGCCTCTCGCCGTTGTAGGCCTGTCTGGCTATATCTCAGCGCCTCGTTTGTATATTCGTTCTGGCCACAGCACTAGAAAGTAAGAGTTCATCTGGATCGTTGAAAGTGAGCTGTGAACATTACTGCTTCTAAAGGCTGAAGTCTGGAGCTTCCTAAGGATGCGAGGCTGTGCTTCCTGTCACTGGCCGCTCTGCGGAGGCCCAGTTAGGCCTCATGTGCTGATTCTGTAGTCGCGTCATACACGTTCAGTTTTTTCCGTAAATTATCGCTGTTACAGTTACATTATAAAAAGTGACATTTATCTTTCCATTTTATTGTTATTCATCTTCACTAATATGATACTTTAAGTGTGTTAAGTCCCGCATGATTTACGCTGAATTTGAGGGAATTATTAATGAATGTCAGGCCATTCATTGTGGAAAAATGACATCACTGTCAGTCTTCTGCACCCTGTCTCTCTCACAAACACAGCCTAACTTTCTGGAAAGAAACACAGCACACATAAAATAGCAAATAAAAGATCTTCTCCTAGAGAGCCATAGAAGTATATATAGGAGATTTACTGAATCTCCGCTTGGTAATAAATGGGACTCTCTGCCAGCACTATTTATGAAGTAAATGATTCTGAGTTTCTGGTAACTTACTTTATGACGTTTTCCAAATAAATGTCAACTCTGGCTCCGTTTTTGGCTTCGCACTCATTCTAACGATGTACCAGCAAACACAGTGGGGTGAGAATTGTGACTGACACAATCGCCATGTACCGCTGCAATATCAGCTTTGCTATTGGTAGTATGCTGTTAACTATCCAAGCTAGGTGCACAATTAAACAAGATCTTATTGAAACTTAATCGACAGGAGACGATTAAATTCCACCATTCTACAGAGCCTTTTATTGATTAGCTGTTGGTTATGATACAAGGTCTTCACTGAGTTAAGTTGTCTCTTCACTCGCGGGCCTGGAAGTGAGCGTCTGCCTGCCGGAGCGGGAGTTGAGAATAAACCATTTTAACGGAGAGTAGGGGTTCTCCAAATAAAAACTGTAAGAAAAAAAAACTTGAAATAATGCAATGAGATATATTAATCGTATGTGCTTTTTGTAAACCAGGCATTATGTGTGATGTTATTTAGGGTAATGATCCCCCCCCCATCCCCCCCAAATCTACGCCTATGGCAAAGCATGTCTATGAAGTCATTTGCAAACAGCCACAACGTTGCAGAGACATCTCCCCCGATTATTGATTTGACATTCCGCCCATGTCTGTGCGTTTTATTTCAACAGCAACATGATGTTAATGAGATCTCTACGCGATGCTTAACCTGTGGTTATTTTTCCAGATTAGGCTAAATAACCCACAATAGGGTTATACTATATGTATTTATATATTATAAGGCAGCTTTATTTTATTTACTTTGCATGTAGGCATACTGTATAAAACCATTTACCAAACAAACAATTGAACTGATTAAAATTGATCTATTTATTATTAAAAATGTTGACAGCATAACATGACAGAACCAGTAACAATAGGGCTAACAGTTATGCTGAACCGATTAACGCAAAATTATTGGAGAAAAAACGCGCTTGTCGAAACACACATAGCATATGTAATAATTTAGATATCGCTAATGAGCCTTAATGGAACATGATCATTTAATGACATTCTGATCTTAAACCAGCATAAAAAGCAAAATTGCTTTAACTAGTAACTAATTACTTTTATATGCAGAAATTAGTGAATTACTTTTGAATTAAGTAGAAGTGAACTAGTAGCTAATTACTAATTTTCAGTGACTTGTACAGCGCTGGTGTCATGTGACAGTGAAGCCCCCTGTGCCCACAGACAAGGCACCCCATTTCTCCCGCCTGGGGGACGTGGAGGTCAACGCCGGGCAGAACGCCACCTTCCAGTGCGTGGCGTCGGGACGGGCCTCGGAGTCGGAGAAGTTCCTGCTGGAGGTAGGTGGGGTTCCAGACGGTGGGGGCTGGGGCATTGTGGAATGGGGGGTGCGGTGACATCGACTGAGAGCTTCTCTGATTTATGGTGTTGGCAGGTTACCAGTCCATGTTCTTTACCTCTACACCTTTTGTAGGATGGCCATACTAAGAAACCAGTACACTGAACGATGCTTTATACTGCACATCAGTCTTGGGTGATTAAAACGACAGGCACTTCACCGTCTTCAGCTTTCTGATGCTAATAGGCTATTATGAATGTAAGATGATGTGCTGTGTTGTTTGTATCTCAGCAGTTGTTTCAGATGTCCCAGTGGTTGAATTGCTCTGGAAATTAAGCTGCTAAGAACTTGGCGGATTTAAATTCCCTGGAGTTTGATCATCAGGTTTTTACTGGCGAGTTTTCATTGTGCGTTTTTCATGGGACTCGCATCTAAGCATCTGTTTTCCACACCAAAATGGCCGCTGCGATGCCTGCGGGTTTTCTCTCTATGCTTAGCCAACCGGGTGGGAGGGGCAACCTCTGCCTTGGGGGCACCATCCTGCTTCTTGCATCGGGCGGGAATTAAATCACACAAATGGTCACGTCACCTTTCAGAGGCAAGCATGCAGCCAGACTGTCCGACGCCCTTGGCACCTCTGACCCTGAGAAGTTCTCCCCTGTGGGACAGGTTCCTGTATGATGTTATGGCCTTACTTACTTGTCCTGAGAGTTCATGGTTTACTCTTGTAGCCATATCCTGTTTAATTCGGGTTTATTGTATGCGTTGGTCATATGGGGCTTCGTCCAAACACATTATTTGCCCCGACAGGCTGTTGCTGTAAAATTATTGCTCTGTTGCTATAAGATATTTTGCCTCTTTTCAAAAGAGAGCCGACTATATCGTCTCCTGCTCTTCAAATCTCTCATGCTGGCTTGGGAAAGAGGAAGCGGGAAAGTGGTAATGGGAAAATGGGTAAAGAGAAAAGGAGGGAAGGGGACAGGGAAAAGGGGAAAGAGGAAGATTGGTCTGATACTCCCTTTCCTTTCCCCTTTTCCTATTTCCCTTTCCCCTTTCATTTTCTTCTTTTTCCTTTTTCCTTTCCTTCCTTCCACTTTCCCCATCCCTTTTTGCTTTTCTCTTTCATCCTTCCCCTTTCCCTTTTTCCTTTCCTCTTTTCTCTTTCACTTTCCTAAACAAAAAAGGTGCCATCTAAATTAAAACAAAGAGACAAAATAATAAAGGGTATTTGTTTCTCTGCAATGGGGGGTGGCTGCCGTGTGTACGACACAAGCAGCCATGGCTCTCAGTGTGGACCTCAGCATGCAAACTGCCCAGGGGCCTCACTTTGGGGGGGTAATGGCCTGGCCGGGGGAGGTGGCGGGTGCCAGGCCCCCATGCGCCAAGGTTTGGTCACTGACATCACGGCCGTCTGTGTTGCCGTGGTTCTAATTAGTTTGGCCATTGAAAGAAATTAATCAGAAAAAATGTTGCCGAGTGACGAAAGTAAGATAAAGCGTTAACAAAGCAAGATACAATATTCAAATTAATCAGTGAGATTATCATCAAGCCCAATTATGCTGTGATATAATTGTAATAATTGTGCCATAATAAAATAGCACCCGGAAATTACTGAAATATGGAATATATTTACAGCCCATATATGTATTAGAATATGTGTCACTGTGTTACAATGCATAGTTTATGTCTTATTCGTAATGAGAAGATCGGATGTTCAGAGTTGCCCGTCTACAATGGTTAATAACAGTTCATAATCACAGTAGATCCAGAAATTCATGGTCATAATCAGGGAACTCCGAGGGACAGAAATCCAAAAGCAGAGATGATAACGGGTACACACAAGGTTCTGAAGGAGACCCAAAGTCAGGATCGGTGAACAGAAAGAGGCCCAGCAGCCGGCAGATAAGGAGAACCAGAGACGGATTGGCGATGGCGACGATCACGCAGCACCTCACCGAGGTTCTGAGGAGGAGTGACTAATTGGGAAGAAGTGAGGCAGGGCTTGGGTGAGCTGAGATGAGCATAGTGGAGGAACTGTGTGGGATTCCACAAACATCTCACCATAGCTGCTAGTATGTGAAGGCTGTGTAAGGGTGTCTTTGTCCAGGTCTAAACAAAGTATGTAACTGCATAAATGGTGTCATCGGACTTGGAAGCATTTTTCATGATGGATCTGTGACTGAGATCTTTCTAGAAAGTGCCCCTTTGTCCCTGTGCCCCCCACAGCCTCCTGTGAGTCTTGCTGCGTTTGTGGATGCATGTGACTCGGTTCCACACTCTGGCTGCGATGCTGTTTCTGTCGCGGATGTGTGAAACACACCAAGGTGGAGAAACACCTCACGGACCTCGCCGCTGGCCCGCCTGCAGCGTGGCACAGAGGCGGCGTGTAGTTACCCTGTTACTCCCTCTCCATTTGTCTTTTCCCCTCCTCTTCACCTCCTGCTGTTTTCTTACTCCTCCGTAGAGCCTGTGGTTCAGAATGATTCCCTCCGCTTGTGAAGACCCAGTATCGCCCAGCAGAGTTCAAACTTCGCAGTGGCGGGATGTCCACTGGGAATAGGATGTCCACTGGGAATAGGATGTCCACTGCTTACGACAGGGAGATTGGGGACACGTGTGGACAGGGACAGTGGGGACACAGTCTATGTTGACAGCTTTTCCAGCCTGGGGGGCTCTGCTCAGCCAGCACTGGAGGGTTGATCCCTTTTCCCTAATGGCCACTTGACTGATTTGCTTATTCTTGTCACTCCCCCCCCTCAGCGGCATAATGGAGACCTGACTCCTGCTTCTTCGGTGAAGCACCTGAGCCACCGGCGTTTCGTGGCCTCCTTCCAGCTGGACGCCGTGCAGCACGCGGATCAGGACCTGTACCGCTGCGTCACCCAGGCCGCCCGCGGGGCCGGCGTCTCCAACTTCGCAGAGCTCATCGTCAAGGGTGAGGCTGCTGCCGCTGACTCCTCAGGGCAAGGAGGACATTCTTCATGAGTGCTGGTCACGAGCTCCGGCGGCCCTTCACAGCACACACACCCAGAGCGATGACATTTGTTACTTATTACATACCTACAGCCCACAAAAACCCAGGGATGTCATGCAAACTGTACAAACCCCAGGCCTGGGGGTGTGAGGATATAGTGCTACCCACAGAGCCATTGTGTTGCCTAATTAAGACATATGATGCCTAATTAGGGATCATAGGCTACTGACTGCTGAGCAGTGCAGAAGTGTGATTTAGTCTAATGACTCATCTTTCACTCTTTTCCCAGTTAGCTTAAGGGTACGTGAATGGCTGCAGTGTATGAGGAAGCTCTACTTCCCAGCATCTATCAGTGTCCCGTCATGCAGCAGGCCCTCCCTGCTGGAGCGAGACGTCGTCAGGATGGCAGGGGCTCGGCTTGACTTGGGCATCGTTCTTATGGGATGTGGACTGGGGAGGCAACGCAGTCAGGGTGTGACCACCCTCTCTGAACTCATCCAGTGTTCATACGTGTGTAGAAGTGTAGGGTTGATCTGTCCATTTCCCAGCCACTTATGCTGGATAGGGTCATGGCTGGACCTGGAAACTGTCCCAGGCAGCATATGGCACAAGGCAGGGGGCACCGTGAAGGGGATCCCAGTCACATGGCAACACAGGGGCTGACCAGAACGGGGATTAGCACACTGCCATTAGCCTTTAACGAGCTAAATCCATGAGTAGAGTTGGTACAGAGTTGTACATTTGTTGAAAAAGCAAAGCTAGTTAGCAAAGAGTAATATAGACAGATCAGTCTGTGGGAATTGCCCGAGGTCTATTCAAGTGTTACTGGCTAGATTTAGGGCATTGTGTCTCTAGGTTTTCCAAGACAGAATGTCATGATCTCCTAAGGAACCCTGATAATTGTAGGCTTCCTGGGAGAGACTCTGGGTCAATGTGACTCTGGTTGGACGAGTATTTTTTTGCAAATGGGTGGATGGATATTTTATTAATTTCAATGATGTTGATAATTGAGCTCTGATGGTAAAAGAGCATAACTTGGTGGATTTGGTGAGCTGAAGGCCCTTCCCCAGGAAAAAGGAGCTTGGGATCTATACTTTGGTTTACTCAGTCTACGTTCATTTGGATAAGAACCGGATTTGTGCGATAATCCCAGGACAATATCGAAATAAACTAATCATGCGGAGATGTCCCCGTCTGTCTCCTGGGATAATCACACCATTCTAGTCGAGGTCTGCAACGCGTTTAATTCCATGGCAACGGAGCTAATCCCCAGTTTCAAAAAAGATGTCGGTGGCACATTCCCCAGCCTGTAAGGGGGGCTGCTCTGAGCTGGGGGCTGTCAATCATAAGAGGGTAGGAACCCTGAAGCTGCCAGAACGGAATCCAAAAAACCTCAGAGGTGGAGGAGCTTCGTGATCGGTATCCATGGTGATCACACTGGGGAACATCACTTTGTGGATTACATTAAGTTTTGCCACTGCCTGATGAGTGTGAGGCGAGTCAGCGGCCAGGGGGGAGCTGGACAGACCCCACATACAATGTCACGTTTAATCTCACAGGACACACTATTGAAAGGACCTAACATTCCCATAATACCCCTTTAGGGTAAATAGGACGGTAATATGGAGGGGGCTGTGGACAATCTGAAGTGGGGCGACAATCCCCTCGTATAGAATACCAGTAAACTTCTCATAGTGATACCTCTCTCAGGAGCTTGTATCCCTTCCTGTAGACCAGATTACCATCTTGCCCGTGCCTGTGGCTTTGGTGCAGTTTTTGTGTCCCCCATCCCATCCTGACTTCATGTTGATCTCTTCCCCATCCCCTTGAATCAGAAGAACTTTGAAAACGTCACTGTGATCTTCAGGCAGGTACCTCACGGTGTATAGTGCTGTGGTAAAATAATCTCGGTTCTTTCTGTGAGTGTTGATCTCGAGCCGTGGCCTAAGATAGCAGGACCAGGATTCTGTCTCAGCTTCCCCGGTTCACTGTGTCCTCGGCTACAGGTCTGCATGTGCTAAAGACCACAGGCACTGCCTTAGCTTGTCCGTGTTAGCTGTGTTTCTCAGCTGGCTGTGGCAGGGCGCCCTTCCAAACACGTTACTGATACCTTGCAGAGGCACAATGAGCCACCAGCAGCCTCCACCAACCCCGTTTGCCACAGGGCCCATATCCCTCAGGGAGCTGCTGTCTGTGGCCTGTTACCAAGCTTTCTGCTTTCCCTTTTTACGTTTTCATCTTACCCTTTTCTCTCACCTTTTTTTCTTTCCCTTTGCCTTTTCTTTCCCCCTTTCCTTTCCTCTTTATCCTTTTCCCTTTTCACCTTTCATTTCCCCCTTTTCCCTGTCCTCTTCCCCTTTCCCCTTTTTCTTTCCCCATACCCTTTCCTCATCCCCCTTTCCCTTTTTCCTTTCCTCTTTACCCTATTGCCTTTCCACCTTTCATTTACCCCTTTCCTCTTCTCCCTTTCCCTTTCCTCTTTATCCTTTACCCTTTCCACCTTTCATTCCCCCTTTTCCCCTTTCCTCTTCCCCCTTTCCATTTTTCATTCTCCCTTTTCCTTCCCCCTTTCCATTTTTCATTCTCCCTTTTCCCCTTTCCTCTTCCCCTTTTCCCCTTTTCCATTTTTCATTTCCCCTTTTCCTTCCCCCTTTTCCCTGGGTTCCTTTTCCCTCTTTGTCCTCTTCAGCTTCCCTTTTTGGCTCTTTAACTGGCATGAGTTTATTTCACAGAGTGCCATTCTCCCACCGGACTGTCGATCAGGCCGTCACCTTTTCCCTGCTTGGTGACTCGCAGTTGTACCTTTTCTTCCATCCCCCTCACCCCCGGCTCCCGACGACCCTGCCCCAGTCAGGTGTATTTCCTCATTCCCCCCCACAGACAGAGTTTGTTTGCTCCTTGCCTTTGTTCGCATCAGGACGCCGTCATGTCTCTCTCATTCCGCCCCACTACCGCAGCCCCACAGTGACCCGCATAATATCAGCCGTTCGCGCCCCCCCCCGCCCCGCCATACCCACCCACCGACCCTCACGCGCACCTTGGGCACATCGGGC